CCCAAGCGAATTCCTGTCCCCGGGAAGTTGCCGCCCGCCGCAGTCCAGCCTCGTGCGCTCGGCGACCCCTGCTGGGCGGGGAGCGTCCCGGGTCACCCCGGTTTCCCGACGGCGCCAACTGGGGAAGACTCCCTTAGGGATCGTCCAGCGCTGCTGCTGGAGGCGGGGACCCACACCCGCTGTCCCTTCAGCCTGCACTTTAGAAACCAGGAACAAGTTGAGACTCGGTAAAGCCCCAGGATAGTGGAGAGACAGCCGTGAGGCGAGTGGTCAGTTGACCCTGCCCTGCAGCCTGGTATCACCGAGTTAGAGCCCTGTGGGACTCCCTGAAGGCCTCCTGGCAGGCCGCACGGGCAGCATGACAATGGCCTGCTTTCCCGTTGAGTAAAGCCTGAGCTGTGGCCAAGAGCAAGAATGAGGCAGTGGCAACCCCAGCGGCCAGGATGGGGCAGTCAGGGAGATGTCCACCAAGCGGCCAGATAAAGGAGCTGGAGGGGGACTCAGGTTTCGTGCTCTCTGGGTGTGGAGAGGGTGGCTAGGAGCCTAGCCGTAGGGGTGAACTGCTGGGACCTGGGGGAGCCAGAGTGAAGGTCTGAGGGGACCTTCCGTTTTCTGCAGCTACTCCTGTCCTCAAAAGCACAACAGAAGGGCCGGCGTTGGGCACAGTGGCACACACCTTTCTCAGCATTCAGAAGCTGAGGCAGAAGGATTACTGTAAGAGGCCAGTCTGAACTACAGAGCAAAACCCTGCTGCAAAAAATCAAAAAATAAAAACCCGTGCACAACCTAGGACAAACCAGCAGAGCTTTGAATGGTGCATGGCAAGGGTGTTAATTCCGGTCTGAGGTTGGCCAGTAGGATCTGAATCCTGATTCTTCTGCCACCGATTAAGTGGGTGACATTATTGGACAAATTATTCAGTTTCTATGCTTTTGTTATCTCTAATGGAGTGGGGAGGGTGAGTGTTAGCCACTACAAGCCTGAAGAGGAAATGAGAACTCATGCTGAGTTCAGCTTTAGACAGCTACACTGTCTTATATTTATGAGACCAAGTTCCAGCCTGCCTTAGGCCTTTCCAAGTTTTCTCTTTTTCCCTTTTGATTAGAATAAGTGGTAGGTCCTACTACATCCATTCTTGTTCTCACTGCACCCCCAACCCCATGAAACTAGATTTTTTAAGTTTTTTTTTTTCTGGTACCAGGGATGGAACTCAGGACCTTGTGCTTGCAAGGCAGGCATGGTGCCACTCCCAGCCCCGTGCTGTGACTTTCCTGTGTGGAAACCAGTCTTGCCTGTATGTGCATTCAACATTGCTCATCTATAAATTTTTCTCTAGGATCTCCTTTGAATTTATTCTAACTCACCAGTTTCATTAATGTATTAAATAGAACCTTTAGCAAGTGTTTATTTTTATATATTTTTGAAGTTTTTTATTTTTGAGTCAGGGTCACACTGTTAATTCAGGCTGGCCTTGAACTGCTGGCCTTAAACTCATAGTGGTGATCCTCCTGCTTTGGCCTCCTGAGTGCTGGGATTACAGGCGTGTACCACCACACCCAGCAAGTGTTTATTTTTATATCCTTTTTGGCGGGGTACCGGGGATGGAACTCAGGACCTTGTGCTTGTGAGGCACGCACAGTGCCACTGAGCCAAATCCCCAGTCTATTTTTATATCAGTAAGAGTAATGACGGGCCGGGAATTTAGCTCAGTTCAGTGGCCTGCCTTGCAAGTGCAAAGGACCCAAGTTCAATCATCCCTGGTACCAAAAAAAAAAAAAAAAAAAAAAAAAAAAAAAAAAAAAAAATTTTTTTAAAGTAATGGGCATTGAACTTTTGACTTTGGCACTGAGCTACATCCCTAGGCCTTGTTCTGAGACAAGTCTAAATTGCTCAGGAAGAGTTTAAACTTGTGATCCTCCTGCCTCAGCCTCCCAAAGTGCTGGGATTACAGGCATGTCCCCCTATACCCTGCTTTGGATCATACTCTATTTCTCCTCCATAACCCTTAGCAGTTTGTAAAATGACAGAATTCTAAGTTCATATGCATGTTTACTAGGAAGTCGGAGCCGGAGCAGTATCTATTTTTCCATAGCTTTACTGGTGGCGACTGGTACTCCTGCTGGCAGAGAGGAAACTCTTAGTATGGTTGAATAACTAAAGGCAGATGCATCTTTGTGAATACTTTATTAGAGCAAATCAATACACCTGCATGAGATGATTCTTACATCATCTTATGTTCTTTAACATGTGTTCTCAAAGTGATACACCAATCCCCAATCCACTTCAGTCATCTGATAAAAAATAAAAGTAAAAAATTATCATGTCAAGAAGGCAGGGTAATACAGAGTGACATTTTAACACATTACCAAAATTTAAAAAAAATTTTATTTACATTTCCTCTTCACTCACTTCCCCAGATTATACTAACATTACAGCAATGGGAGGCGTTAACATCACAGTGCACCTTGCAAAGTCACTTACAGGTTAATTTGGTCAGCGGGAACATAGAGACCAGCAAAGTAAGACCTCAGCTCTTCCACAAGCACTGCTCTCTTCTCTTTCCCCCTTCTCTTACTGTTAGCTGCCTTTATTCAGAGAGGGATCATCAAGACTGGGTATGCAGGCTGGATTTCCAGTGTTCTGTGCAGCCTCGGCAAGGAAGTCTTTTGTAATTCCAGGTACTGGGTAAACAATCCCGAGGTAACAAACTGTTAAGGGTGAAGATGGGTTCCATTCCACCCTAGTCAGCGGTGTGTCCCCCACTCTCGGAAGGCCTAGACCAGTGGTGGTGAACCTATGGCACATGTTCCACAGCAGGCTGCTTACTATCACTGAAGGCTCGAAAAGGTTTGCCACCTGGGCCTAGGACAAGTAACTGAGCTTTGCACAAGAAACCTGGGAACTGTGTTGGAAAAAGCAAACTCAGAGTGAGCTCAAATCTCCTTGTGCATGGAAAGATTCACTTCTTCACACAGATGGAAATGAAAGACATAAAGCACAGCAACCTTTCATTCAACCTCCCAGAACAGAGCTTTGGGTTTTGCTTCATTAAGAACACAGGAACTGCAGCATGAGAACCACTGTATTCCATAGGGTCAGTTTATTACAACTCATCATACCAGAAAGAAAAACATCTTAAGGCCATTTGTCATGCATACTACAAACAAAACCTGGTCCGTGGCTCCCGGCAAGCAACCTGCAAGGGTGGACCATGGATGTGCAATCTCCAGGCGCACCAGAGAAGACTAATCATTTCTGTGAGGGGATCTGACAGCCCCGTTTGTCTCTTTCCCAGAAGACTAAATCTATAGCAAACAGTGGCTTGGCAAACAAATCACTGGAAATCGCAAAAGGAACAATAGCACTTTGTACACAAGTAAAGCCAAGGGGTCACCGTCTAGTCCTAGCATTGCTTTTGTGTGATATCTGGCCAGACCTGGCTTGGAGCCCAAATTTCATGTGGATAAAGCAGAGGAGAGGAAGGGTCATGCTTTTTTCCACATAAAAGGTATTTTGATTTAACCGTCTTAATGGATGAAGATGCCTGCTGGGCACTGGGCTTCCATGTTAAGCAGAAAACCATACATCTATAGATTCTGGGGCTTGAAAAAAATTTTATAGATTCTTGGCTAAGCAGATAGAATCTTTGATTTTCCTACTTCTCATCTCCAGTCAGTCCCTTTGGGCTGATTTTACCTGTGTAAAATGCTCAACAATTCTGATCTTCATGAGTATAGAGTAATGTTTTGTTTTTGGTACCAGGGATCCAACTCCGACCCCTGCGTTTGCAAGGCAGACAGTGAAACCACTGAGCTAAATCCCTGGCTCAGTATAGATAGCTAGAAAAGGACAATCACTGTTCTCCCTCTTTTTCTAACCAGCAGTGGAAATATATACAGATTAAACCCTTTGTAGTTTACCTAGAAAACACCAGGAGAGGCATCCTGGGAATTAGGTCACAGTAATTCTTTACACAAGGAAACAGTTGCATTTAGTCTTTTCTAGGTACTTTTGCCACAATGTTACAAATCCACACACACAAAAAGAATTAGCCAATTTCTCTTTCTTCATTGCCTAGGTGTGACCAGCAATTAATTCTACCCTAATATGCCAATTCAGTATCACTGGGGACCAGACATCTTCACTGATTTGGAAGAGAAGAACACGCAGGAAGTGGCAGAGTCCAACATTTTTTCCACCTTCCCTGAGAAGTCAGGAAATCTTTCCAAGTGAGCCATTCTTCCTCCTGGCTTTCACTAATAGGAAGCAAAGTGTATTATACACTAGAAAATCGAGCTAGACCATATCAGTCATGAGAAACTTAGATATAGGCTCTTTTAATTAGGAGGGATGAAATAGCTCCCTATCTCCTCCTGAAATGTAAGGCTGAATGGACAGAGAACCAGGACTCTCAACTACTGATCCTTGAAGGACAGGACCATTATACATCAGTTTTCTCTGGAGATGAAATTCTAAAAATTAGTAACTGGAAGATAAAGAAAAAGGGAGGAGGAGGGCGGAATTACAGAGATAATTCCAGAGACTGGGAAAAGTTCCTTAGCATCTCAAAGGGCCATGGGGCAAAACCAGAGCCCTTAGTATGGATGAAGGATGTTCTTGTTCACCTGTGACTGCGTACGAAGAAACCAGTTCTGACCATTTAAAATCTTCACCCTCTCATGAGAATCTAAGGCAGTAACTAAAGGACTAAGGCTGCAGGACTCCTCAAACAAGCACTGCACAGGGTTCTACAGACTGGAATCTTTTTATGAAGGGGATTAAAAAAAACCTGAAGCAAAGAAAAAAGTTTTAAAAAGTACTCCCAAATTCCCGTACTGCTAGGATAAAGCTTTTAAAATAAAGATTGGAGGAGAAATGCCAAGAAGCAGCTGATCCACTCTTCATATGGGATTTTGATGTTTCCTAGCTCTGTGTTTATTGATGTGCTCTGCTGAAAGCGGTCTCACAAACTGCAAACGAACAAAAGCAATGTTGAGTAAAAAGAATGAGAAATGTGGTGAGAATAAGTCACACCTCTACCGATTCACTCAGATTATCAAGTGTGGCAGTAATGATTAACGGATACATGCTTTAATCCCATCAGACTCCTGGATCAGGTCACATTAAACTGTACTAAACACATTTTATAATGTGTATCATTTTATTACATGAAAAGAATAAAGCCATTTTTATTTTGGAAAATAAACTGTACTAAACAGTATTTTTATGCCTCAGGTATCCACTCATTCTCAATGATTTATTCATACATCCTTGCATTTCCCTAAGAACTTAGCTAATGATGCCAATGATATGACTGGACTCAGATTTACACTACAGTTTAAGAGACAACTGGCCATATATAATATCTGTATGACATTTCTCTTCTAGAGAGTTCAGAGGTCCTGCATGGTCATAGGAATTTGTCCCTTCAAAATAAACTTTGTAACGATTCTCAAATAGCTTTGCACCAATTATTGATATGTTTAAATGTCCACACTGACATTTTAATTTGAAGTGACTTCATGCAAGTTAAAAAGACTAGCAGGTAAGTTCATTGCTCAAAATCTTTGACTTTTGTTAAGCCTATATCTATACCATTAAATAGCAACTGCAGTGCCAAAGCTACCTGGTACTCTAGTGGGATTCTACAGTGGGGGCTAAGACACATGGCAAAGTTAGCAATGTATTTTATTTTACAGGACTAGCTACTTTGAGACTTCAACCTATTAACTTTAACATGTACATGCTAAATATAATCCCTGTATCCCTCCTTGGTTCTTTTTCTCACTCTTTTATGTCCTTTAAAAAAAGTGATATAAAACCTGGAATATGTCAAGGACTTAAAAGCTCTCAGATGCTGAGAGTGACCAAGGATAACTTTTATATGCAGGACACAGAAATAAAATTTGACAAACAATATTGCTTACATCCTGCACAACATGTATTTTTTACAAACATTCCACAGCTGATGACCAGAGGCCTAGGAGGGTGTGGATTAGGGGTCTTCACCAATAAAAGGTGCAATTTCAAAAACAGAAATATGAAAACCTACTTTTATACATCATTCTTACACGCTGTTCCCAACCCTCCCCTATAATACTTGATGGCTACTAAAAGACAAGATGATCTTGGTACAATAAAGCCAAAAGTTTGTTTCACTTAAGCTTTGGTCAAAAGAAACAAAATAATTTCAAAGTGGTGATTTTCAGTATGTTCTTTGGTCAAGTAGTATAAAGCTCTCTGAAAAAGTCTCCTTTACCTGGTTATAGCATGAACAAAGAATTCAAATAGAGGATATTCTATAGTTTAGGAAGGAGAAATGTGATCAGAATTTCTCGGGGGGGGGGGACCCCACATAATGGAAGCACAGGGAGACTTTAGCTCGAGGTCAAGATTGTGTTAAGAAATCAGGAATAGAAGAATTTACCATTCAGAAAGAAGTCAGTGCATCAGCTTCTAAAAGGACTAAGTTAACTCAAATCCTGAAATAGGAACATGATAAATCATTTCTGCACAGAAGACTGACCAACGTTTTCCTTCAGCAGTTCGAATCCTAATCTAGACTCAAATATCACTAGAAGCTATCATAATTTTTGAAAAGTAGAGACAGAAACACCATCACAGACATTCTGCAAATAATCAATTCTTGCCCCAGTGCCCCTGCTCCTCACCTCACAAGGAATGCCCATCGTTATCAAGCAGCTTTATACAAAGATGAGTTTTTACCATTGATGTCTGACCTTGGTGGGATGTTGGTACTTCTAAAACGCTGAATATTTCAAGTAGGAGGTTGGAGGTATTACAATTACAGGTTGGGAAGAACCTAAAATTTGGGCATACCCTCAGACTGTGACCATAGGAAGACATATTTGATAGTGAAGGAAGAAATCATCCGGTGACTAAAAGAAAAAATGGATTAAGACCGAAGCCTGAGAGACACTGGCCAGGAGGAGTTACACATGATTTGCTTGGCACTGTTGCTGCTTACTATTTTTTCTTCAAAGGCTGAACTGAAGACTGAAGGGAGAATACTCCAGTTGACTACATGACTGGCTGAATAAGGGCTCCAAGATGGGCACCTCTGACACCTGGATGGAAGTAAGTGGAAGGCACTTGCTTCCTGGGGAGGAGGGTTGGAGAGCCACAGGTCCAAGCCCTCGAGGTGGCTGGAGAGGGAAATACCTATGTGGTTAGCCAGATAAGGTAGTGTCAGTGGGATTTCACAAGTAGAATAGGTATAAAATAAAATGCTTTTTAATGGACAAAGCAAGTCACTTCTTTTTTAAAAGGTAAGATTTAGGGAAGGACGCATGTGAAGCAGTTGATTATTTACAAAATGTCATTGAGAGTACAGGTGGCCACCTTCAGTAGTTGAAGAAATGCCTTTGACATGAGGTGGCCACAGAAGTGTGGTTCCTGGAACTGGCTCAGAAAGGCCATACACTGTCTTGGGTGAGGGAGAGTTCCTCTAAGGGAGCACCTAAAGGCTCAGTCTTCCGTTTCTTCATACGTAGTCTCGTCAAACGGTCTGTCCAATAGAGGCACCAATCGATGACGGGAATACTTCAGCTGCAACAGGTCCCCAACTTCATCTATCTCCTTTAAAGCCTACGACAGACAACACAAAGCAGAGTCAGAGCCAGGGGGATGCAGACTTGCCTGAGACTGTTCTGGCTTGAATATAATCCTGAAAAGGTTACCCACAGGTGGGTTTGTGCTGCGTGCATTTACTCCATATCAGATTATGTACAGTCGTGGACAGAGCTGCTTTTGAACAAGGCTGTCAGCTGTCTGTGAATAATGGGTCATGAATAGCCAGGTATGCAGCATAAAGGTAAAACTATCAAAGTGGGACGTGCTCAGAGGAAAGTGAACAAATTGCTCACATGTGACTCCCAAGTCTCTGTGACATCACAAAAACCTGTTAATCTTAGAGCTATAATTCTGTATAAGAATGTATACCTTATACTTCAGAGTTGATTATATGAATATAAAGACAATTTCACCCGTTCTTTAATTAAAAAAAAATCAATGTTCAGGGAGAAAGAGAGAGAAGAAAAGTATTAGTAGTATTACTTATACATATCAGCATAATAAAAAAGAATCCGTCATTCCTAAATGTGAAAAACATAACAAGCAAATGAGAGCTGGGCTTCAATATGCATGGAACAGTGGTATCTCTGTGAAGAGGTTTAACTGAAAACTCCACATGGAAACAAGCCTGATTTTCAGCTGGGGGAATTTATTAACTATTTATCCCCCTGACCTCTGATACAGATTTATTCAAGGAAAAAAACCACATGAAAAGGACATTTATAAACACTGACTTCAGAAAAACTACATTTTTTATCAATGTAAAAAAGATGATCAGAAATAGAAGAGAAACCCAAACAAACCCACAGTAGTCAAAGGGGATGTAGATTATAAGATTTCTTCTGATTCCATACCATATTTCAGAGAAGTTTATTTTTGAGACGAAGCGAGGGGGGGGGTTTCATTATAGAAATAGGAAACCTGAAATCAATGAGTTAAAAAAAATCAGTGAGTGCCAGGGATTTAGCTCAGTGGTGCCACCACCTGCCTCACAAGTGCAAGGTCCTGAGTTCAATCCCCAGTACTGCCCCCCAAAATCAAATGAGCTAGGTGCAGTAGCAATAAATTACCAAATTTTTAAAAATTTAAAACTTAGCTGGGCGCATGTCTGTAATCCCAGCACTCACTTGGGAGGCTGAGGCAGGAGGATCGCTGTGAGTTTGAGACCAGCCTGGGCTACATAGTGAGTTCCAGGTCAGTCTCAACTACACAGTGAGACCCTGTCTCAAAAAAAAAAAAAAGAAAAACTTAAAAAAGTTTTAAAAATCAGTGCAGAAATGTATTAATAAGCCCCCCCGTCCCTTTTTCCTTTTTGAGACAGAATCTTGCTATGTAGGCCAGGCTCGTCTTGAACTCACAGAGATCCTCCTGCCTCAGCTTCCCAAGTGCTGGGATTACAGGGGTGTACCACCATACCTGGTTTATCATTAATATATATATATATTTTTTTGGTAATGGGGATCAAACTCAGGACCTTGTGCTTGCAATGCAGGCACTCAGGAGGCTGAGGCAGGAGGATGGCCAGGAGGTTCGAAATACGTAAGTGAAACTCTGTCCTCAAAACCAAACAAAAATGTATCAGAAAGCTCAGGGTAGAAATAGCTGGAATAGGAAGAGAATTTATAGCCACAGAGTCCATAATGAGAGAGAGAATGGCACGAGATGAAGCTAGAAACCTCTCCAGAGCTCCGATGCTGCTGCTCTGGTAGGAGATGCTATAGATTCTTACCTTTTTTTGTAAATGTCAGTTTTATGTAGCGCTGTACCACTGCTGTCTTATCAGTAAACAGTTTAGGTGCTCAAAGAACATGAAGATCAAGGGGTGCTTAATTTCACCTGATACACAGAGGCCTGACAGGATAAGGCAGGTTTATACTAAGGTGGAAGTGTTTACTTACTGTATCGAGCATTTCTTTGGTATGAGCTGCCGACAAGCAAAACCTGGCTCTGGACTCAATAATTGGGGTGGCAGGAAATCCAACTACAACTACACCCATGTTCCGCTTCAGCATCTCCCGTCCAAAGGCGCTGTAGAGGGCAACAAGAAGGAAAGAAGTGAAGATGGATATTACAGCAGACAGTGCAAAGGTCTTGCTGTCTTGCAGGCAGGCACTGGACAGTGATGAGGCACTGGAGACTTCTAATAGTTTTCTCCACTCTCCTAGTTCACAAAAACTACTTGTGTATAATTATATTTATTCAATACGATTACCGAATATAATTATTGTTCCTTTGCTTTTCCTATTGTTCCTTTCCTAGTTTCACTGCACATCTGGACTTCTCAAATACACTGAAAGCTCTCCCCCAGGGTGAGGCCATCCATTACGTATGCTTCACACAAACTGAAGGAGCTGGTGTAATCCACACACTTGCTAGACGCCCAGCACCATGCCCTGACCTCCTGGCCCATGCTCCCTCAGGCCTGTCCTCCAGCTTCCATGAGTGCTTGGTTGCTCTTCCACTGACCACACACGCTTCTGCACCTGGCCTTTGCACAGATGCTACTTTCTCCAAGTGGCTCTTGGTTCCTTCAGGCCTTCGCTCAGCTGTCACAGAGGCTTTCACTGAGAAACTGTCACCTGCCCACACCAGAGCATTCTCAGTTCCCACGGGTAGCCCGCTCGATTTTCTCCTGTAGTGCCCAACACTTTCCAGTGTACCACAGAACTTATTTATTGTGTTTTTCTGACTCTTGCACCACTAGAATATAAGCTCCACAGGAAAGTTATGTTTGTGTGTAGGGTAACCATCTATTGAAGCACCTGGAAAGTAGCATTAAATTCAAATGTTTAATGAAAGAAAAGTAAGTTAATACATCTTGCAATTTGGTATCCACTTTGTCAACTATAGCTTATCTGCTAAGTAAAGGTTAACACAGTAAGGATAAGACAATTTCCCCTAACAAATTAAATAAGCTCCAGTCTCCTATCACAGATACCTTCAGTCTAATGAGAGGCCAGTCCCACTTGTGAGAAAACATACCCAATTTTGGCTGGCATGTAGAGCATCAAAGGCACCACTGGAGAATCTTCATTTCCATAAATTATGAAGCCCATCTCCTTCAGGCGTCTCCTGAAATACCTGGTATTTTCAGCTAACTGCTGCACACATTCTTTGCCTGGAAAATCAGGGGGAGAGAAAACAAATTAATATTAAGCAAAAGAAGTAACAAAAAAGATAGTTAATTGGTCTCTAATCTACCTAATCAAGTCTATGTTTTGTTTCTTCCATTCCAACATAGATATTTTTGCACAGTAAGCTATGGATTATAAATATGAATAAATAGGCCTCACTTTACATCCTGCCATTCTAGCTGTTGTGCTTGTATAACAATGTAAAAATAAAGTTTAACGACTAATGTTTCCACGACACATTAGCATTCCCAAAGAACTACAGCCACACCACCTCACTGAGCATTCCACACATCCGTGACTGGGCAGGACATTTATTATCGTCTTCGTTGTGTGGGCCAGGAGACTATCTGACAAAAGTGACGACTTGGCAAGCTGAGACCAGAATCCAGCTCTCCCAACTTCAATATTCATTCCAACTAACCATGCTGCACATAAATAATTTCCCTGAAGAGTTTCACTTTATATTACTATTTCTTTAAAATTTACACAGAGCAACAGTCTACCTATAATAAGTAGAATCATTTTGTTTTTTGTTTTGCAGTGCTGAGGCTTTGAGGCCAGGGCCTCAGGCATGTGAGGTAAGAGCTCTACCACTAAAATATATACTCAGCCCTAAAATCTTAGTTCTAGCCCTATTTTAGTTTATCCTTCCTAAAACACTAACAGACTAAACTACAAGTTTCTCTGACTGACAAATATCTGACTATGTACTGACATTATGGTAAATTAATCTATGAAATGATGCCCTAAAAATAGTTCTGTTATGCACAGCCTAGCCAATAAATCTAAAAGATCAGCTTGCAAAGGGCTAAGAACTGTTTCACGATCTTCTCACCCACAAATACTTATGAATAAAAGAGACTGCAGTGATTTTCCTACACATATTAGAAAGTCAGACATTTGTGTTAAGTCCAAGGATGATACAGTGACAAATGAATCAACCAATCAGACATACCAAACTAACAAATGTCCTCAGAACTAGAACACTAACATATCCACCTTTCATGGGATGCCACCCTAGATAAAAACTGGCTACAAATAATCCCAAATTAATACTCTTTGTATAATTTCAAGTTGATCCAAGAAAAACAACCTTAGATTAACCTAATTATCATGAACACTAAGGAATATCACCTATGCTGTAAGTCTTACAAAGAATAAGAACAGACATTAAAGTATGTTATATTTAAGTATGTTGAGAACCAATGAGATAAGTAGCCCAATTTTTCCCAAGTGTATCAATACATGCTTACTCTGAGAAAAAGGGGACTCCTACTTCTAGCTGTGACAGAGTACCAGAGGCTGCATTTACCTGGCTTTTGTAAACAACAGAAAACTAGACAATTTGTAACACAATGATTTTCAGACACGCAATTGCAGGCAATGCAGGATAGTGCTGTCTGAGAGGGGAAACCAAGGGTGGCCCTTCAGGCTGCTCCATGCTCTTTGGAGCAGGATCTAGGATGCTGCAGAGGAAAGGGGGCCTGGTCTAGTCAGCTGAGGACAGTTAAGACTCCAGCTGAGGGCTGAGAGAGGCGATCAGAGGTGGGGAGGCCGAAGGGGCTGGACTCTGTTGGCAGTGTACAGGAGAGGAGGGACAAGCAGAGTACACCTTGGGCATCTGCACAGTTCCCTCGGCCTCGGGGAGAGCACTGGCTGTCATCCACACGAAAAGAAACTATTAGAGGCCAGGGAAAGATCTTCCAGAAAACAGTACACCGAACACTTTCTGCCACTCACGCAGAGTTGAGGACAGTTTGTGTTTACCCAACAAGATGGTCAGCCTTTATAAGATACCTAAAACAGTCCTCAAAAAGGCATCACCCTAGACAAAAATTTGGTTTTGGGCAATGCTAACAAACCTTAAATAAAAGTCTCAAAAAGATTCAACTGACTTCAAGAACAAAGTCCAACATTACCTAGTCTAGCATTCAACACAGTTCAGTACACAACAGTGTAAATTTTACAATGTCCAACACTTAATTTAAAAATCTGGAAGCATTCAAAGAAATGGGAAAATATGACCTTAAAACCAGGCAAAAAGTCAACCAATAGAAGCAGACTAGAAATGACAGAGTATTAGCAGACAAGGATATTAAAAATTCCTTTCTTTGGGTGAAGGGTAAGTACTACTCATTGGAACTTTACACTGAGCTACATCCTCAGTCCTATTTTAAATTGTGAGATGGGATATCATTAAGTCACTAAATTGCTCAGCTCAAACTTACAAACCTTCCTGTCTCAGCCTCCCAGTGTGCTGGGATTATAGGAGGGTACCACGCCCAGCCTAAAATGCTATTACAATTATGTTCTGTATGTTCCAATAGGTATAGGGAATATGATAAGAAAAAGGAACAATCAAAATGAAACAATGCTAATGAATCTTAAAAGCATGGTAAATGAAATAAACCTGGCACAAAAAGAGTATGCATTGTATGAACCCATTTATGTAAAATACTAAAGAAGAAAATTGTGAGAACAGAAAATACATAGATTAGTGGTTGCTAGCAAGTGGGAAGGGGACTGACAGCAAAGGGGCACAGGAGGACTTTGGAGATGTTGGAAATATTCTATACTGTGATTATGGCATGGCTGTCAGACTGCGTGTATTTTTGTTATTGTTGTTTTGTTCTGTTTTTGTTTTTTGGGTACCAGGAATCAAACTCAGGACCTTGTGCTTGCCAGGCAGGTGTAGCAACACTGAGCTAAATCCCTGGTCCAAGTAATGTTGGTTTGATTTTTTTACTGCATATATTTGTAAAACTCCTAGTATTACATATTTAAAACTGGTAAATTTTATTAGTCTATATAAATATCTCACTAAAGCTAGTTTTCTAAAAAAACTGAGTGATATGCTTGCATATTAGTATACATGATTTTTTCCTGAATTACCTTTTAGTTATCATAACTCTAATAGTGCTAGCCCTCTTATAAACTTACTAGCCTCAGGTGAGAAAAAAAAATTTTAATACCAAGGAAATAAAGGAAAATTATCAAAGAAAGAACTGTTAAGAGTTTTAGATTATAACTTTCCCACTATGCATTATTATCTGTTCCCTGACAGGAAGCATCCCAGAAGAAAACGTATAAAATAATATTCACTTACACACACTCACACTCACACACACAACACACACAGACCCCCAAGTATACAACCTCAAAGTATGGAGGGCAGGTATTTAAAACCTCTAAAACACATACACACACACACACACACACACACATTTGCTGATCAGTATTCTGTGGTAAAGACATACCATAATTTTATTTATTCATTTACATGTTGATGGACACCAGGTTCTCATTAAATGAATGTGAATGAAGTTCATTAAAGTCCACATTAAAAATAACTCTCTCCTAAATATATATTTAAACATTTTAGTTATATCCCAAAAAGGGAAAAATTACTGTAATTATTAATTACGGCTTGGTTTTAATTGACTCTAATTGCTTTAGGTATGTGGCAAAAAGAATGTACTATTTATACTTTACAAATATAAAAATTGGGCCCAGAGATATCAACTTACTTTGTCCAATTATTTTTATAAAGCTGGAGGCAGACCATGGTCTTCTGACTCCAGTCTAGTACCTTTTCCCTCTATGCCACACCAAAAGAATATTTATTTAAAAAAAAAAATGGTGGGGGGATAGGGATTGAACTCAGCACCTTGTGCTTGCGAGGCAGGCAGCAGAACCACTGAGCTAAATCCCCAGCCCCTTCTATTCCTCAAATTTTAAAATCTAACCCTTTGTTGGTAATAATATCCATACTTTATTCTGTAACCAGTACTTGTAGGCCAATTCAAGTAGGGATGGCTGAGTAAAGGTGCCTAAGAAGATGCAGGCTGAGTAAGAGACAAATGAAAAGTAGCTTTTCTCAATTAATTCACCCCAAATAGCAAAACTGTACCCCCTGCACAGATGAGTTCAAGAATAACGGGTAAGAATGAGTTAAGACCAGTGCTACAGGAGGAACTCAATTAATTTTAGATGGGAAAATTAAAATGTCAGAATGAATCACAGAAATGCAGGGTTTTTTTTATTCAAAAATTATTAGGCCAAACCATCAAACTGCCAATATTTTACCTGACTATATAAAAAGCAACCTCTTATGGTCTGACCTAATAATTTCAAAGACATTAGATTAAGAGGAAAATAAAGAAGTCAAACAGATTTATACTATTACAAATTGATTTACACATTTACATATTAGATATTATCACTTACTCTTGTCTGTTTGTTTGAGACAGGCTCTGTTTAGGCAGCAATCCTCCTGCCTCAGCCTCCTGCATGCTGGGATTACAGGCATGAAATACCATGCCTGCCTATCCCTTACTCTTAAAGGAATATTAAGTTTTAACACAACACAGTCATTCATTTTAAACTAAATACTATATAAAATACAAGTTATGGGCCTGGAATTTAGCTCAGTGGTTCCGGTGCTTGCCTCACAAGCACAAGGGCCTGAGTTTCATCCCCGGTACCAAAACAAAACAAGTTAATATTAACACAAGTAGGCTAATTACTATTTAATCTGTTAGCTCAGTTCTAAATTTTTTACTAGAGTTTCAATATCTGGTCTAACATAGACTGAAACAAAGAAGTTAGTTCAGCACTGCTAAAGATCTTTACCTTGACTCAGAAAGAACACAAATGAAAGAACATAAAAAACAAAAACAACAACAAAAAACCATAAATCTTTACTTTTAAGGGTAATAAGGCTGTCTTTCTGAATTTCTTAAGTATAGTTAAGAAAAGTTAGAATACTTATAGTTAGAATAAGGCCTTAACTATAAAAGATCTGTAGTTTGGTACAGATGAGAGAAAATTTTAGTAAATAAGAAAATGTAGTACAAAACTTTGATAGGTCATTTGTACACCTCAACTTCTTTGTAATAAATTTTATATTCAGGGAGGAAATGACACATATGAAGGATCAACGAGCTGGGAGATTTCATTCTTTTAAGAACCTAGAGGACCCGCT